AAGAATGTAAGCCACTAAGTCATTATAGATTCACATACAGCTAGAAATTGTTTACTCATTATTCATTCATGGAACAAGTATTTACTGAGTTATCTACATTTTCTTTTTATTTTAGAGGGAGAAAAAGAGAGAGAGGATGAGTGGGGAAGAGAGACAGAGGGGGAGAGGGAGAGAGAGAGAGAGAGAGAGAGAGAGAGGGAGAGAGAATCTTAAGCAGGCTCCATGGTCAGCACAAAGCCTGACATGGGGCTCGATCCCAGGATACTGGGACCACCTGAACCAAAATCAAGAGTCAGACGCTTAACTGACTGAACCACCGAGAAGCCCCCAGTTATCAACATTTTTAACTTGAGATTTTAACAGAGATAATTGAAGATTTCCATGAAGATATAAGAAGTAATACAACGATACCCCATATACACAATGCCCAATTTTCTCTGATGATAGCATTTTGCAAAACTATAGTATAATACCACAAATAGGATACTGTCATTGGTACAATCCACCTATTTTATTCAGATTTAATCATTTTAGCTTATTGTCATTTGGATGTGTGTGTTATGTATGTGTATTAAGCTCTCTACAACTTTATTATCTGTATAATTTTATAAATCTACACCATAGTCATAACAATACCAAATGCCTCCAACACCACACGGATCTGTTCTCTTGCTTTTTATTCTCACATATACTCTTCTTTCAGGTACCCCACCAACATCCTTAACCCTGAGAATCAATAATGTGTTCTCTATTTCTAAATTTTGCTACTTCAAAAACTTTAGATAATAAAATAATATAGGATACAACTTTCTTGGACTGGCTTTTTTTTTCATTCAGCACAACAACCTGATATTCATGTAACTTGTTGCAAACTCAACTGCTCTTATTTAAACAGAAGAGTATTCATGGGGCCCCTGGGTGGCTCAGTCAGTTAAGCATCCAACTTCAGCTCAGGTCATGATCTCACAGCTCGTGAGTTCGAGCCCTGTGTCTGGCTCTGTGCTGAAAGCTCAGAGCCTGAAGCCTGGTTCAGATTCTGTGTCTCTAGCTCTCTCTGCCCATCCTTCACTCATGCTCTGTCTCTCTGTCTCAAAAAATAAATTAATTAATTAATTAAAACATTAAGAAATTAAAAAAATAAACAGAATAGTATTCCTTGGCATGTATGTTCTACAGTATATTTAACCATTCACCTGTTGAAATACCGCTGAACTAATTCCAGTTTGGGAAAATAAGGCTACAATGGACATTTGTATGTAGGTTTCATGCAAGCATAAGTTTTTTCATTTCCCTGGATTACATACTGAAGAATGTAATTGTTGGGTCCTATGGTTAACTGCATACACAGTTGTATAAGAAACTACCAAACTAATTCCTAGAGTAGCTGTACCATTTTAAATCCCCACCAACAATGTCCAGTTCATCCATTTTCTCTGAATCTTCACCAGTATAAAGGTATAAGACTTGGGACTCAGGGTAAAGAGCACTAACAAACCCACAAAACAAAGCTCTATCCACAGGGGTTTATAATCAGGCCAGATCAGCATCTCACAGGCTGCAGTTGACAGTATATTTCTTTGTTTTTTAAACATGAAATTTATTGTCAAATCGGTCCATACAACACCCAGTGCTCATCCCAACAGGTGCCCTTCTCCATGCCCATTACCCACTTTCCCCTCCCTCCCCCCCTCATCAACCCTCAGTTTATTCTCTTTTTTTTTTTTTTTATAAAATTTTTTTTTTCAACGTTTTTTTTTTTTTTTATTTATTTTTGGGACAGAGAGAGACAGAGTATGAACGGGAGGGGCAGAGAGAGAGAGACACAGAATCGAAACAGGCTCCAGGCTCTGAGCCATCAGAGCCCCATCGCCAAGCTCAAACTCACGATCATGAGATCGGGCATCACCCATGAAGTCGACGCTAGAATGAATATGCGCCCACAATCACCCAGGCTTCACTTATTTCAAGTGAAGAGTTCCCTTATGCTTTTGCATTCTTCCTCTGTAACTTTTTTCTTCCCCTTCCTCCCCATGGTCTTCTGTTAAGTTTCTCAGGATCCACATAAGAGTGACAACATATGGTGTCTGTCTTCTCTCCTTGTAAGGACGATTTCACTAGGCATAACACTCTCCAGTTCCATCCACATTGATACAAAAGGCCATATTTCATTCTCCCGTTGCCAAGTAGTATTCCATCATGGTTATAAAACCACAAATCTCCCTCTTTATCCATCTTCCAAGCTGATGGACATGCATTTAGGCTCTTTTCCATAATTTGGTTGTTGAAAGTGTTGCTATAAATATTAGTATTACAAGTGTCCTCATGCATCAGCACTCGTATCCCTTTGGGTACTCCTGGGCAGTGCTGGGTATTAGGGGCAGATCTATTTTTTAATTTTTGGGAGGAACGCCCAATACTGTTTCCAGAGTGGTTGCACCAATTTGCATTCCCACCAACAGTGCAAGAGGGTTCCCAAGCTCCACATCCTCTCCAGCATCTATAGTCTCCGATTTGTTCATTTCTAGCCACCTGACTGGCATGAGGTGGTATTCCCAGTGTGGTTTTGATTTGTATTTCTCGATGAGAGTGATGCTGAGCATCTTTTCCATGTGCCTGTTGGCCATCTGGATGTCTTTAGAGAAGTGCTCATTCATGTCTTCGCCCATTTCTTCACTGGATTATTTGTTTTTTGGGTGGAGTTTGGTGAGTTGTTTAAAAATTTTGATACTAGCCCTGAATCCTATGTATTTGCAACATCTTAATAAGTATAAAAGAATTGAGATCATGCCATGCACACTTTCAGACCATAATACATATATGAAACTTGAAATCAACCACAGGAAAAAACTGGAAAACCTCCAAAAGCATGGAGGTTAAAGAACACCCCCCATTACTGGGGCCAGCTTTGGGTGGCTTAGTCGGTTGAGTGTCCCATCGGTCACTTATCTCGGCATGTCCGGTGAGTTTGAGCTCCGCTGCCAGGCTCTGGGCTGATGGCTCAGAGCTTGAGCCTGGGAAACATCTCTGTGTCTCCTCTGTTCGCCCCTCCCCGCTTCCTTCTTCATGCTCTTGTCTCTCTGTCCCAAAAATTAATAAACATTGAAAAAAAAAAAAAAAAAAAAAGAACACCCTACTAAAGAAAGAATGGGTCAACCAGGCAATTAGAGAAGAAATTTAAAAATACATGGAAACAAGTGAAATGAATAACAACAATCCAAATGTTTTGGGATGGGCAAAGGCAACTCTGAAAAGAAAATACATTGCAACCCAGGCCTATCTCAAGAAACAAGAAAAATCCCAAATACAAAATCTAACGGCACACCTGAAGGAAATAGAAGCTGAACAGCAAAGACATCCCAAACCCAGCAGAAGAAGAGAAATAATAAAGATCAGAGCAGAAATAAACAACATAGAATCTAAAAAAACAGTAGAGCAGATCAATGAAACCAAGAGTTGTTTTTTTTGAAAAATAAACAAAATTGATAAACCTCTAGCCAGGCTTCTCAAAAAGAAAAGGGAGAGGACCCAAATAGATAAAATCATGATTAAAAATGGAATTATTAAAACCAATCCCTCAGAAATATAAGCAATTATCAGGGAATACTGTGAAAAATTATATGCCAACAAACTGGACAACCTGGAAGAAATGGACAAATTCCTAAGGACCCGCGTACTTCCAAAACTCAGACAGGAAGAATTAGAAAATTTGAACAGACCTATAACCAGAGAAGAAATTGAATCAGTTATTAAAAATCTCCCAAACAAATAAGAGTCCAGGACCAGATGGCTTCCCTGGGGAATCCTACAAGATATTTAAAGCAGAGATAATACCTATCCTTCTCAAGCTGTTCCAAAAAATAGAAAGGGAAGGAAAACTTCCAGCATATTTCTGCTTTAGGACTATGGAGCAAAGGAAATTCATTTTCAGAGAGGGAGAAGACAACGAAAGGGACATGGGATGGGGAGAGAAGGAGTGACTGCAGCAGAGACGAAATTAATAGCATCTCCATCTTGGACCCAGCTATTGTTTTTTTTAGAAAATGAAAGCTGCCTTTTCTGTAACATGGATATTATAAGGCATTTCAGTGTATTTTCCTCTCTTTATTTAGTTAACTTCTATAGCTCAGCACAAAACAAACAAATAATCCTTTCTAACACACTAGGTGGTAAAGAGTATAACGATCGGTTATGATACCTACATTAAGGCTATTTCCCGAAACACGCTGAAAATAACAAGGAGCCAAGGACTCTAGGGTCAGGCAGATTTGAATTGGACTTGAATCCTGGCTCGTAACATACAGTACCTATGATTCTTGAAACATTTTATTTAATCCTTGATTTATCACAATGCCTGGTGAATATGACAGCATATTGTTCCTAATAATAAAAATTCTTTACGAAAAAATCAGGTGTACTACTGTTAATCAAGAAGCTTTCATGCATTTTGGATGAAAGTGCCCATCAGTTGTTAAGTCTGTATTTGGGGAAAGGGTGGTGTTGATTTTGACACTGAACCCCTCCCTCACAAAGGCATAATATTTTAAATAATATTTAATATTTAGATTTATTTAGTGTAGAGTTTAAGATTATTAAAATTTATTTAGTGATTTATGAAAGAAGGATGGGAAAGAACTGCTGGTAGCAATTCCCAATATTACGAACTCATTGCATGTGTGTGTGTGTGTGTGTGTGTGCGCGCGCGCGCACGCGTGTGTGTCGATGTTTGGATAGAATACTAAAAAGCCCTGTACCCTGTCCTATATAGAAGGCCCCTTAGTGTCCAGTTTCGTGGTTTCTCCCCACTTCCCACCCCCTCACTCTCTCTCTCTTCCCCCTTATGCCGACACCACTAGTGACTTATCAGAGGATCTCTTTCAACTACAAAACATATTCTGCCTCCAGGAGAATTCTGGTAAATAAGATGTTCTCCATGTTATTGCCTTTCAATGACATTCTAACACACCTTATAGATTACACCCTTGGGCAACTGTCCAGCTGGCTTGTCCTATAATCTGTCTCTGGTTGCCCTTTTTCAAGATAGAATGCTTGCCTCACCTGTTTCCAGTCAACAAAGAAAACTTGCCTGTTGATTATTATAGGTAAATGTGCCCTCACAAACCCACACTCACCATTTATGGTACTCTTGAAATAACTCTGGAAAGAGAAGAAAGTCTTGTTTTGGTCTCCTATTCTCTGGAATTTTTAAGAATTTATATTTCATAAAGGATTCTTACAGCAAATCAGTCTTGGAGTGGCCTGGTGCTCTTAAATATCTCACTATTTGAAGAAGTATTAAAGAAATTACACTTAAGCCTTAAACAATATGGGAGTTAGTGTGCTGACCCCCTATGCAGGGGAAAATTCATGTATAACTTCTGACTCCCCCAAAATTTACCTGCTGCTAATAGTGTACTACTGACCAAAAGCCTTATGAATAACATGAATTGTCAATTAATACATATTTTGTATGTTATATATATATTAATACTGTATTCTTACAATAAAGTAAGCAAGAGAAAAGAAAATGTTATTAAGAAAATCATAAAGAAGAGAAAATACATTTATAGTCTTACACTGTAAAAAATCTATGTATAAGTGGACTCATGCAGTTCAAACCCATGTTCAAGGACCAACTGTAACTCCTTCAGCCTGTAGAACTTAGTTGATTAAAACTTTAAGTTATGACCACTAAATGGTACAAGAGTTTAGGATTATCTCAACTGGTAAATAAACACTGTGCTTGTATATATACATATACATATATATATACATATATATATATATATATATGTATATATATATATTCTTTTTAAAGTTCATTAATTTATTTTAAGAGAGAGAGAGAGAGAGAGAGAGAGAGAGAGAGAGAGAGCGCACACATGCACAGGGGAGGGGCAGAGAGAGAGGGAGAGAAAGAATCCCAAGCAGGCTCCGCACTGTCAGCACAGAGCATGATGCGGGGGTTGATCTCATGAACTGTGAGATCATGACCTGGGCTGAAATCAAGAGTCAGACACTTAACCAACTGGGCCACCCAGGTGCTCTAATCTATTACCAAATGTAAGTGCAGTAAACACAAAAATGGCAATGTTCAGCCAACTAATAAAATGTCACAAGGTAAAATGAACTTGATTGGAGATAGGGGAAATGATGAATTACATGGCCAAGTCTGACCCATCATAGTATTTCAACTATTTTGTGGTAGAGGGAGCGACTGTTTAGTTTCCGTGTCCTCATCCAAACCCATTACAGTGACATAAGCTCTTGAGTTTATAATAAAAAATTAGCCAGCCCTATCAGTCCCAGCCTACTCCTCAGGGCTGTGCTCTGGACAAGTTTCTCAGCATCTTCTACTCTCAACACTGTGCCATAACACCATCCTGATTTGGGAGGATTGGAGGTGGGTGGGCAGCAAAAGTGTGGCAAGCACCATTTTTTAATAATGGTGGGCTTCTAGTGTCTACCGCTTCTTCTCACTGGTCCTCCAAGTGAAGGGACACCACCAGCCCTAGCCCTCACTATTTTCTCTCATGTGTTGGAACACACACTTTGTCTTACTTTCTCAACAGAGAGCAGAGAGACAGAGCATCTATGATAGCAGGCTATACAAAATGGAATTAAAAGACAGATACGCTCTGCAATTACTCCATATGTCTGTAGATGGATCCACTCTCATGACTCACTGAAAGTCTTTCTAATCTTCCTACCTCATGTGACCAAGACCTGCTCCTCCCATCACCAGATGTACCACTTTGCTTTAAAATGCAAGCTAAACCCATAATCAACACCAGAAAGGGGAATTAATTCTGAATTCTTGCCCATTACCATTTCATGCTCTCAAATTTAGTTCTTGATAGGATTCTGAGAGTAGAAATTTCACGGTGTAAATAAAGCAATGACCTGAAAATAAAGCATGAGTATATCATTGACTCGGGATTATTTTAATATTAAACCAAAACATAAACAAGGTATTGAGGTATCAATCCAGATTTTTTAATCCTGTTCAATCCCTGCTTATTAACGGTGAAACTCTTATAGTCCACTCTCAACAATATTTACCTCACTAAACATAAACCAGATAAAGAGAAAACATGTATAAATTTAAGTAGATAATTTTAGTTGAAATAGAAACCTACCATGCATAAGATGAAATGATGCAATGAGAACACTTTTGCTGAGAATTCTAAGAACTGAATAGCTACTTATTTTCTATGCTTATCTTTGCCTATAAGCTAAATAGGTTCAGGGTGAGAATGTCCATTTTTTTGCCTTAAGATCTCTTCTATAATAACCTCCATATAGGTAGTACCACTTTCTAAGCATTCATCTTATAATCAAAATATGATACATCATCAAATACATCCATTAAATAAGAGCTGAAACTTACATATATTTTGCCACAAAGGAGCTAAAATAAAAAAAGATTCTAAGTATTTTACCCAAGGTCATCCTGATTTAAAAATGGACCAAGAATAAAATCATGATATTTAATAGATGTCTGCCTGCCCAGGCTCTTAATATTACAAAATCTTTTAATTGGTATTAATATTACAACAGAGACGACAATTCCATCCTCCCCTGCTGCCTAGTACAGATTGCATTTTATTAGTCTGAAGACATTTAAATGGTTTGAAGTGATAATTAAAATGTTTCTTTAATATGTCCTATTTTATTCATTGTCATTTGATTCAAGGTCACATACCATTGTCCAGTGCTATATTCCACACTTTAAACATTTTTCTACTGGGAATATTCTGGCTTGTTATACTTTTAGTATACCTTGGAAAATTCTTTCTAGCAACTAATTGTAATCAACTTCAAAGGGGCTTGTGATCTAACAGCATCTCCATTAATTTGGTAACTTAAGTGCATAGTCACAAAAATTAATAATGTATTAAACAGTTATTTCATAATTCAGAGCCACAGTTTTACTTATTTAACTTGGAAAAATAACGGTCATACCTTTCTTAAGATACATTAAATTAAAAAAAAGGAACATTACATTAATACCACCTGATGTATTACAGCTTGAATGCCTGTTGAATTCCTCTTGACAAGGTTACATGAATAGAAGAAACTAAAACATGTTTACCATTATGATTTGCAGTTTACCTTTAACTGTGATAATTCTGCAATCAACCAATTTTTATACACATGAAATATTTAATATTTTATCATTTGGGTAGGGTCTTCTTATAGTGATAGGCTTAGCTTTCTGTCATCATATATACTCATTCTCCCACTAACTGACAAGTTCTTATGCTATCCTTGACTTGGGATGGGTACCTGAAAAAACCAACATAATTCATAGCTGTAGTGGACACTAGAGGTTAGTTATTTACAAATGCGTAATAATTTTGTGGGCTGCTCCTAATAATCAGGTTCTTATGCAGCACTCTGTGGGTAAACCCCGCCTAAAAGTCTAGTTCAAAAGACAGGGTTTGCTCCCTTGTGCTAGAGTCCCAGACCTGATCCCCTGGCTTCATGCGACAGATTTCAACAGAATGGCTTTAATTCCCATCAAGCACTGAAGTCCCATGTCTCAACCTTTGTTCTGGATCCTGGTCATAGGAAAACTGCAAAGACGTAGACAAACATCCAGTACAGATAACACTCCACTTCTTCTTGACTGCCAAAACTCACCCTTGCACACATTCCTTCCTACCCTTTAAATTAAAGCTCACTTTTGCTGAATTTTTTCCCCCAATTAATGAGACAATTTGTGTTGTAATATAACAATATTTTGATTCACCTGTGCTATGTGTTATATGCAAGCAAACAAATATGATTATATAATCTATAATAGGATCTTGTTTCTGTTTCCTTTATTTTATTTTTAAAATAATTTTAGGGAGGTTTTTTTTGTACAATATTACATGCCAAAGTTATTTTAAAAAACAATCTAGATTAAATATACATTCTATCATGCCATTGTCTGATTTAGCAGGTTTTTTTTTTTTTTTTTTTTTTTT